GTGAAGTAATGCCCCTGGCAGAGGCCAGAGACGCAGGGGAAGACCGCCTCCTACCTATAAAAGGCAGGGACGATCTTCAGCTGGGTCGAAATCCTCCCGGCCTGAGGTCAATCCCTCGATCCTATTTTGACTATATGATATTTTCTATTTGAGACTAATGAATCTTTATTAATATAGTCCATTTATTCGGACCACATCGAAACTACCGATGGAGTCTCGGCATGGCCAAGCCGAGGACTCACATTGGTAGCAGCGAGTGGTTTCTGTGGCTATTCCACAAACGGCAGGTTGAGCTGTGGCGCCTTAGCTCCCTGCCAGTCTCCGTTGAGACAAAACGTTTCGCTTTTGACCGGCGATCCGTCTAAAATGATAAAAACTCGTCCCATTCGGAGACCAACATCAGAAGAGCCGCAGGACTACTCAGATCCACCGACCTACGACGTCCGACAACGTCAATCGATGTCAGGTTCGAATCTATCCCTAACGATGCATTTTCAAGAAATCTGTCGACGTGCATCCGACAGTTGGCGATGTTCCAATTCCGCCATTCAACCGATGAAGCAGCCAAGCGTCAGCAGCCGACGCAGAGAGAGAAGTCCGTCGCAGCGAGGCGACCGGCCGACGAGGCAAGCTCCGCGTAAAAAGCTCACGCGGAGGCGTTGCGGTAAGCTGTGCCCAAGGTCGACAGTTTGAAGAGGTTATCCCGCGAGACATCTTTTAGAAGGACTTGTTGATAAGTCAATTACCGCGGAAGAGCGCTAGTTCCTCCGAGCATCGTGGAGATGAAAACAGGCGACGGCCTGAAACAAAGGGATTTTAATCGAGGACGTCCGGAAGTTCAAGGTTCAGATCGTTGCGAAACACAGGACCTCAGGCAGCGTGTGTTGACACGCGAGAGCGGCAGATGCCGCAGTACAAGTGCAACGATCGTTTGCAGGCTGCAGGGAGACAAAGAAGACGACCGAACGGCTGCGGTTTCCTGAGGACAAAGGCTCCGGCGACGGAAACAAAGAAGAAGGGACGAAGTTTACCGTCCACAGTCCAGAAGGACCGAGAAAGGACATGGCCAACGTACGTCGAAAACAAAAAGGACGCATCTGTGAGGAACCAGAGGAAGAAAGAACAAAGAACGGTTCGTTACAGTCTCTGGAAGTGAACTTTGTTTGCAGAAACAAAGGATGTTTTGGTTTTTCTGTGCCTACAGAAAGATGCTGAGCCGGCGACCGCCTCCTGATCTACAGTTTCATCGAGTTCAGGACATGTGAGAAGTCGTCTGTTCTGGTCCAGCTCCTTATTCCGACTATGCCACGTCCACCTAGTCTTCCCGCATGGAAGACTGGGTAGCTTCCGAGGCCCCTGTTAACGCAGGTGCGGCCCGAAGCGAAACACCTGGACTTTTGACCGGTCCAGGTGCCAAAATGATTATCCATTTTGTTAAAATGATGAATCCAACCCCGAGTGTCCGAAGCCGAAGAAGAAAAGTACGACGATGAAGTGGAGTCGTCCGAAAGCGAAGAAAAAGGCAAGTCAAAAGACCAATCTTTTGAGTTAAGAGAGTCAGTCGTCGGTTCTTTCTTGGACGACATCTATATCGGACAGCCGCAAGCAGCAGAAAGCGAGCAACCAACGCCAAGGCGTGCTCCGTCTCTCTATCTCCGACACGTGACTCGACGAGAACGAAGAAAGTCCGACCAATCCGGAAAGTTTCCATGGGGAAAGTACGATCGAACAAAACTGTCGAGCCCAATCACTCCGAAACAAGGAAAGAGCTCTGCCTCTCAATCGACACAGGTAACGACTCCTGTCACAAAAAGTCCAATTAAGGGAGCTCGAACAATGAAAACAAGGAGCCCTAGTCCGATTCCAGTTCGTCAGAGAACGCCGACGCCTCCAATGATTCAAACGTTGCCAGTTTCTCCGCCAAACGCGCCCTCATCAAGCTCCAGTTCGGCACTGACCTCGGCACCAACAAGTACCACGACATCCGTGAACAGCCCGATTCCGTCAACAACAATGACTTCGCTTCGCTCTAATCCAACGACAACAGCGGCAACTGCGTCGACCAGTCAGACATCGGGATCGATATCGACAGCTCCACTGTCATCTACTTTGACTTCAAGAACACAACTAGCAAGCACATTTGAATCGCTAAGAAAGCTTTTCTTATCGAATTCACCGACCATGTTGGTTTTCTCAACGTCAACAGCGTTATCGACAAGAGCGTCGAAGTCATTGGCAGCGATCTTGAAGACGTCCACTCCGAAACGTCAAATTGGGCTGACGTCCACTCAGAAAAGTTAAACTACGTCACGGACTACGTCAACGTCGCCGAGTTCTACGACGAACCAGCCACGCTCCAGAAACATTGTGGAAGTTCTCGATTCAACTCTTATGAAGAAGCTCAATGGACAAGAAGTCATTTCATACTCGAACATGACGAGCGACTACCAGGAAGCAAAGCTTTTGCGTTTTTCGAAAGGGACTCGCTGAAGCGCTCGTTGAAACTCCACCGCCGACTACAACTTTCCAAGAAAAGTCTCACTGTGAGCTGAGACCATCCTCTGGTCAGTATGATCGCCGAAGAAGTTCTCATCACGTCGAAAGAACGCTTAACCGACACAACAACGAAGCAGACGAACTCGAAACAAAGCTCGCAAGGATCTTCATGGGCGAGACGTCGACGCGATCAAGCTGAATGAGGGACTTCACGAAGAATCCGACGCTACTTGATGAATCAGCCCTCATCATTCATGGTGAAGCCTGCGGTCGACCTTCTGAAATGTTTTCTACACGGCAGAACCAACTGGCCAGACGATCGCAAAAGGTTGCCGAGCAGAAAGCTCGTCACGTCACCATCTCCTGAAAAGCTGAAGACGTTAAAACCTTGCCGAAGAAGATTTCAACACGAGAAGACGCCAGAAAAGACTCCTACAAAGAGACTTCAGCTGAAGAAGTTACCGGAAGAGTCTTCATTTCGAAAAGAAAACTTTAAAACTGGACAAGATGAACCGCCGAAGTAAACGCCAAAAAGCCAAAACGAGGAGTTCCCCGAGAGGAACATCGACGAAGTCGCCGAAATCGACGTCTACGAAGTCGCCGACAAGAGCAGCCATGACACCGACAGTGTCGAAGAGATCGAAGCCGACAATACCGTCAACAGCGGTGTTGCGCCATCTCCTCCTTTTTTTCTCTCACGTCAAAAAAAACTGATTGTCTAAATTTTTTTTTCTTTTCTTCTTCCAGCTGATCTCTATCTGAAAATTTTTCTGCTCATATTTTTGAAATCCTTTCCATTCAAAAAATTTTGAATCGCTTTGTTGCCCTCACTCATTTTTTCCTCAAAATGATTCGTAAAAGCCTATCCAGTCGTTTCTCTAAAAATAATCATTTGCCATTAATTTCTACAAAAGAATTTGGTTCCGAATCCAGCACGCCTTCCCGCAAATATTTTTTTCTAACTCTTATGTTTTTGATAATTTTTTTATCGTATTTTTCCAAGTGATTTTTAAATGTTAAAAATCCACCCATTTTTTTCTCTTCAGTTGTGACCACCACACTCATTTCTTTTTTTAAGATTCGGGTCGAATCTCATTAAAAGGGGAAAGGTGTGAAGTAATGCCCCTGGCAGAGGCCAGAGACGCAGGGGAAGACCGCCTCCTACCTATAAAAGGCAGGGACGATCTTCAGCTGGGTCGAAATCCTCCCGGCCTGAGGTCAATCCCTCGATCCTATTTTGACTATATGATATTTTCTATTTGAGACTAATGAATCTTTATTAATATAGTCCATTTATTCGGACCACATCGAAACTACCGATGGAGTCTCGGCATGGCCAAGCCGAGGACTCACAATTCTAATCAAAAAAAA